GTAAGCCTCATAAGTTACAGATTCTAGAAAAAAAACCTTCACACCAGATTAAAGCCAACTTCCAAGACCTTAATGAACATTTTAAAGATGTTGATTCACAGTCAATTTGGAAAAAACCTCATAGAAGTGCGAAGGGAAGCATGAGCCCTCCATTTGCTCAAATCAGAAGGTTTCTATCCTAATACCCTGTCTACCAGCCAATCATAATGCATTATGTTACCCCACATGATCATGACCAGTAACTATGTGGGAGGTTTCTGTACTTCCACCCTGCCTTTCAGTTCTAACATAGGAGGAAATGGAATTAGGACGTTTATTGATGTACAATGTGCACTAGAAGATGCAGATCTGGGGGTTTCCTTACTGACTGCATCATATTGAAGACTGCGCAGAAAAGGCACAATAAGGATCAATCCGCTCATTTAGCCCAGCAGAGGCATGGTAAGGAGCCACTCATCTGATTCAGGAATATTAAAAATGGAGTGCATCAAAAAGTTGCAGGATAGTAGCTCTCGAGGACTGGACTTTAGGTCCTCGGCACTAATCTATGGCTGCTGCTTCTCAACTCAGGACCTGGATACTCTATAAACTGCCTCTGCAACAGAAAATATTGAAGTTATTGCATAAGCAAAAGTGGCAGGGAGCTGTGGCACCCTTTGCTTTCCTGATGAACCCCAGAAAACCTGAGATCTTCCAGGGAGGTTCTGGCTGTGTGATTTTAATCTGCTGTGAATTAGATGTTAATCTTAAATGCTGTATCTGACGAATTATTTAAGGTCCCATTAAAGACTCTTAATGTTGTTTTTTTGTTTTTTTTGTTTCCTCCTTCCCTCTCAGGAAATGCTGGCGTTTGATCCTGTGAAACGGATATCAGCCCTGAGCGCTCTAGAACATCCTTATTTCCAGGACGAGGAGAAGAAAAGCTGAAAACAGACTTTTAAATAATGCCAAAAAGAGGCAACATTGTCTTAAATTTAGGATTTTATTCAGTGAGCTGCCCTTTTTAGCATAGCCTGCACTGTGAAAGGTTCTTTTTTTTCATACGCATCAAAAAAAGGAGGACGAGAGAATCACTGGCTTCTGAACTTTTCATAATTACAGTTGTAGACTGCCAACAGTACCGGTGTTTATCTGACGTCAACAGGGACTGATGTCTTCTCATCCGCAGTGCTTCTCATTTGTCTAAATGTCCAACCTGATTGTTGTCAATGTAATTGTTTTTTTAAAACATTTTGTGATATTCCTCCAACAGGACCAAGAAAAATGTTTGTGACTGCCTTTTAACTGTAGTGACCTTAGTGACAACTGTATTCAAGTTAGGAGGAATCCGCTAAAGGAGACTGCACAATTAAAACGCACAGTTTAAAGAAATGTCTCTTTATCTGCAAAAAAGTGTTCTTGATTTATAAATTTCATGTGTTTGTGTTACGCTGAGAAAACCAACTGAAACCAACCAGGACCATAAATAAATTGGACCTAATTCAATCACTGTCAGATTTGGTGTGTTGTTCTTTATTAGTGGTGATCTATATGGATGATGCATTAATACTATTAATAGAAACAGACTATTTTTTTTTTTTTTAAGCTCACAACAGAACCTGTTGCAACTCTTCTGAAAGATGTTTCGTTGGTCCAGTGTTCCTTTATTCCCTAGGATGTGGGAAAACAGATTCATTTAATGGATTAAATGAGGGAAATGTTCAAAAAAGGTCCGAACATTTCTTTGGAAAAATTGCCATTACATTTATTTCAGTTTGCACTTTAAGGACACTTCTGCAATATAATTTCTAAACTGCTGGTAGATGAACATACAAAGGATTAATTCATCTAGTGTAAAATGTTGCAAACGCTGCTCATTCAGATTCTCCCATATCTGCCAAGTCTTTTGGGAAACTACCATATTTCGCCCCTATATACCTCTGTTTTATGCCTTTCCCGTATATTTCCTGGATTATTATAATCTGTGGCGCAAAAACTATCACTTAGAGGCGCTGCTATATCAGTGTCTGCATGCCCTTCAGAAACTATGTAGTTGCACCTCTGATAAAATAATATTTACAAACAGAACTGTTGCATCTTGAGTAAAAATCTGATCACCTTTTTATAGTTTACAATTGTTTGAAAGTGTTTATTTTAGATTTCTTGTGCACTAGTCTTAAACATTCGTACAGCTCACAGTGGATGTAAAATTTCCTTTATTTTCAACTTTATTTTCAAACTTGACAGGAATAGATCCTCCTCATGGATAGGGGCCAATTCGTTTGACGACTGAATCACTGCCAGCTACTGCCCAACCAGTCCAATAAAAAAATATTTAACAGCCTCATGATCTAAAAGTGGGAAAAGCCTCCAACAACTTTACGAAGCAGGTAAGAAAATACTGAACAATACACCTTAAAGGGATTTTTAAAGCTTTTTTGTGTCGACGGGAAAAATGCATTTTTTTCTGCCGGTTAATTTCCCTTTGGAAATAAGCATTTCTGAATTGAATAAAGCATTACCGGCTACATTGACTCTGTTTACCTCCATTTGATATTTTTCTAATTTTTCTTTGTATATTTTGTAAATCTAAGAATCTTGCAGTCGTCTTTTAACCCTGCCACTTATGTCGATCCTATCTGAGGAAAAAGGTGACATTAAGTTTCACCCATCATCAGATTTAATTTAATTTGAAAAAAAAATTTTTTTTTAACTAATCTCCCCTTCTAGATTTTATCCATTGTGTCTCGTAATTATGTTGTTTCTGAGCGCATATGCCCACCCAGCTAACATCAGCATCAGGGTTCTGTATATGGTTTGTATTCTCCTAAAGGCCTGTTTTTAAGCAGTGGTTCACAAACATTTCAGTCTGTGATCCCCAAATTAACAATAGCACTGAGTAGCGACCCCCTAGAAATACATACAGTTCTTTTAAATCTATTTATGTACATGTAAAGTATTTATATTGCATTTTAAATAATTTTTTTCTATATATATTTCTCCATTTTTAAGTGTGGTTCTAATAAATGGGATATTTAAATGTATTTGTTTTTACTATTTAATGATGTATTTCATATTTGAATCATTTATTAGATAAATGTTACATCTATTCATTTAACTGTAGATTTATTTGATTTTTAAAAATTTCTTTTATGATACATTTGCCCTATATATTTGAAGCATGGTGGGAGAAGTATCATACTATGGGGCAGTTTTTTTTTGTACGTACCTGAGGATTTATGCTAAGGTGGATAAGATGAGTTGTTACAAACAGCAGTCAAAATCAGTCAAAGACCTTCGGTAGTTGTTGGAAAATGAAGAGATTTTATTTCATTTATTTTTACGCATTGCATCCAAACAGTTCCCTTCTGAATAATGCTCTCCCAGGTTTGCAGCTTGTTCTTTTTTTTGTATGGAGTAGATGGTGAGCTCTGTGAGATAATCAGGGCTTTTAATGAGCTAAACCTGCTTTAATCTTCTCCTTTGACATCATCCCTTACTTTTCTATGGTGCTTTTCAGTCTTCACTATGCAGTAATGCTCTCTAATAAATAGGGATGGGAATCGAAAACCGGTTCCTGTTAAGAACCGGTTCCGTATTTTCCGATTCCATGGCATCGTTTGGCAGCTCACTGAACGATTCTTTTTTCGATTCCCGCAGCACCAGAGCCTAGAGCGCCGGCTCTGGGGACCACGACTTACGTCACGTTTTTTACGTAAGTTACGTAAGTTACGCAAGTTACGCAAGTTACGCAAGTTGGAAGAACTATTCGAGGAGGAAGACAACGAGCTGCGGTCACTTTGTGAATCAAAGCCCCGTCTTTCCTTAGCCCAGAGGGTAGATCAGGAAATCCAGCTCTATAAAAGCTTGCCCTCCATCCCCTGCAGGGATAGCGCCACACTGTGGTGGTGGAACAAGCAAGATGTGCTGCCCTTGCTATCTGACTGGCTGAAAACTACCTCTGTGTGCAGGCTTCCTCCACCCCATCTGAGAGGGTGTTCTCCACGGCTGGAGACACCATAAGCCCTGAAAGATCCTGTATCCTTCCAGAAAAAGCAGATATGCTCATCTTTCTGCAAAATAACTGTTAATTTTCCCTACTACTGTTTTATAATTAGTATTTTTTGTTATTTAAAATAGGTTATTATCCCATCATTTGTTATTAGACATTGTTGGTTATTAAGTTTGTTCTTGTATATTTATTTTTCATTTAAACACAGATGTTACTCCAGTTTCACATTTCCTGTGGACATCTTGATCTTGTTGAGTTTGTAAGATTGTGCAATAGTTAAGTAAACAAAGTTGATTCTGATAATCAAACTGTTTGTTCTCCTTTTTCCCCCAAATTGGAATCGAAAAAAGAATCGATAAAAAATCGAATCGTTTCATAGAATCGAAAAGGGAATTGGAATCGTGAAAATCTTTTCAATTCCCAACCCTACTAATAAACCTCTGAGATGAAGTGACTTTACAGGTGGATTGTATTTATTAATATGCTTTGAAGGTAATTGGTTGAACAGTTTTTTGATTTTGGGGAATCTGAGTATAGGGGGGTTAGATTCTTTGTTAAAGAATCTAATTCAGTCATTTTTATATTCTCAGAGCATATTTATTTCAAGTATGTTATTTTCAATCTACATATTTCCACTTTTAATTTGGAAAAGATTTCCCATTTTTCAGCAGGAAACTACTTTGTTTTCCAGAGGAGACGTACTGAGACGGAGAGCTGTCCTCAGAGAGCGGCGAGACAGAGCAGATGCGCTGGCAGGAGTAAAGCTGAGGAGGTTCTTTTTTTTTTTTCCCCCCCCCATCTCCCTCTCCACATCCTGACTCGTCTGTTGTAACGGTGCTGGATAAAAATCGGATGAACGTGGGCAAGGACCACCATTGCAGCTGCTGCCTCACAGCGAGTCCCCATCACTCCCAGTCTGACAGCCTCACTGCGAGCATCCTGCATGTATCTGCATCCTGAGCAGTGCTGGTTGTGCAGCAGGATAACGACGAGGTGGCGAGAGCTGCATGGCTCAGTGGCAGCAAGAAAAAGAGGAAGGAGGGGAAAAAAGGGAGGAGGGGCTGGCTTTGGTGAGCTAGTGGGCTTCCTCTGCCTCACAGACACATTTTATTGACTTGCTAATTGGATGAGGCTCTCGGAGGAGAGGATGCAGTGACCAAGAGGAGCTGCTCTCCAGAGGAGGGACACAAGCGAAAAAAGAAAGCCCTGCTCGGGGTCCCTAAATCGAGCTACTTAATCTCCTTTTTTTCCCTCCTCGCTTGCAGACATTACAACAGATGTTTTTGAGTGTCTCGCAGTGACCCTCACGCCGAGCTTATAATTATATACGGATGACATTGTCGAACAGAGGCTCCTGTTGCCAGACGCTTCGTGACAACTGAACCATTTCCATTTTTTCCTGTTCCCTTTTTCCTTCTTTTTTTATATCTCAGTCTCATCTACTGGAGCTATTTTTATCAGCCTTCTTTTAAATGCCATTTGATATGAGCGGCGATGGCTGGATGAATTCCTCATCACATCAAAGCTACATGAGGATGTGAATTGAGCTTCTTCAGGGAGACAAAAAATGAAGGTATGATCAGAGGAAACGCTAAAGACATACTGTTCTGAAGTAGCATTATTTGACCTGAAATGATTGAAGAAATACAATCATCTGAAGGTATTGCATATTTTCTGATTTGCAATAGATGTTTTTTGTCTAGATGCACGGTTTCTATAAAAAGTAGATCTACAGGGAAGGATTATGAATGAATCAGTGGTAGACGCCGGTAGTAACGGTGTGTCCTGAGCAGAATTAATGAAGGCATTTAAGAAAACACTGTAGACTTGTTTAATCACCGGGTCAGAACCTAGCAGAAATTAGCAATTCAATTATACATAAAGCCCCTCTCATTCAGGGGTTTAAAGTGAGACATGTAGTGCTATCAAGTTCAACCAGTATCAGTTTGATCTTATGTTTCTTGTGTTCCCCTTTCCTCAGTCTTGCCATGACTGAGGAGTGTAGATGCTGTGAGGTCAGAGAGCAGGTGCCACTGTGCTCAGGTCTGCCGTCCCAATGAGCCAAGCCGGGAGCACGCAGAAACGCACCACTTACCTCATCTCCCTCACTCTGGTAAAGGTTGAGGCAGTGCCAGAGGATGCTGCAGGAAGCCAGACGGAGGGCCTTCCAGAGGGGGAAGGGAGCCCTAGGAAGAAGAAGAAGGAGGAGGTGGTAGAGGTGGAGGCAGAGGAAAACGAGAAGGAGGCTTCAAGTCATGTCCCTGTAAAAGAAGGATCTTTGTTTGTGGAAGTGGAGCATGATGAAAAAACACCGGTGGAGGAGGAAGTGGAACAGGTGCAGGAAAAGCATTGGAGTGCAAATGAAAGCAGGGATAAGCCTGAGATGAGGGAGGTGTGTGCACCCCAAAAAGACAATGTACCTGTTGAAAAGAGCAGAGAAGCATCTTTTGCACAGCCACCTGTCAGGCAAATGGTCAAAGTATATGGAGGAACTATGTCTGAGGGAAGCGTGCGCAGAGAGGGACTCCGCTCAGATGCCTTACGGCCCAAGACGGAGCTCTACCGAGAGCCTCCCATGATGTTCCTGAAGGGCGAAAACGGAACGGACTTGGGCGGCCGCTCCCGTTGCAGCCTCCCCTTCACTGTCCCGTCGCAGGTCAACCATCCACCACCTGTCGTGATGAGGTCCCATGCAGGGAGTAACGCCTCATATTCCAGGGAGCTGAGAGAGACCAACACAAGCCTGTATCATCCAGCTAAAACTCTAGATCGAAGGGATAACCGTGGCGGGGACCAGTCTCCCTTAGTGGCAGCTACAACTCTGGGGCCTTACAGGGCGTCCTGGGCAGACAGTGATGGCAGGGGCACGCTCATTAGGCCCGGAGTCCCCATCAGTGGAGGGTTTTCAGGTGTGATGACCCGAGAGAGCCCTCAGGGGGAGAGGTATAAGGCGGTTTCTGTCTCCTTACCGGCCCCCCCTGCCCCCGACGTGTGCAGGCCTCCAAGGAAAGGAACAAGTTGTACCCTTGACAACAGCGACCTGCAGTCTTACTATGAGGACCCGAGAAAAGTAAAAGAGGGCCAAGGAGGAACTATTCAGCGGGCTCCTCCTCCTCGGGATCGCAAGATGCTTAAGTTCATTAGTGGGATTTTTACCAAAAGTACAACAGGTCCACCAGGCACCAATACCACTCCTCCTCTCTATCCAGCTGTGGACAGGGGTTCCAGCGAAGAGGAAGGTAAGACACTGTCTCACTAAAACACCACCACACCTTATGGAGATGAAAACATCTTCAGAAAAAAGAAAATTATGAATCTCTTTCAAATAATCGATTCTATCAGTGTGTTAACTTTCCTTTCTTAGACTGAGTGGAACCGAGCATGCTCCCAATGGCCTGGACTGCTTTTCTTGCGTTTTGAGCAGTATGGTTTATTCATGCAATGCAAAATGTTCACTTTTGAGGGCAGCACATATTTAATGATACAAATAGCTTAACAAGGCATGTTTTCTTAACTTTATCAAAGTGTACCCAGGTTTTAAAAAAGTTATACATTTCAAAATGGCTAAAAGGGATTTTCTAAATCCTTTCAGAGATCCAAGAGAAAGCAAAGGAGCCTCAAGCATTTATGTGCCTTTACCTACAGCTGCAGTGGTATGCCTCTCCCTGACTTGTTGCTGTGGACTAATGATTAGCTGCTAAAGGAAGAATCATGCTTTAATCTCTATTATTAAAAAAGGTTCTCATGGCAAAATGCATGGAAAGTCATGGCAAACTTAAAAAAAAGCCCAATAATCTCTCTATTTTACAGTAACACATTTTTAATAGTAGATTTGGGACACTTTTATTGGCATGTCTGTGAAGCAGCCGGGTGCAGGGTAGCTTCCTGAGCAGAAAGCCTAACTAACTAGTTATCATAGGCATGTCCAAAATAGGCCCTTGAGGGTTGCTTTCCTACAGGTTTTCCATGATTCTCGGCTTCAGCACAGCTGATTTAGGTGATTGCAGGTCAGCAAAACCCTGTTAATTGTCTTATCAATGGAAATCAGCTGTGCTGGAGCAGGAAAATCTTTAAAACCTGTGGGACAGTGGTGCCTGAGGTCCAACTTTGGACATAACTGAGTTAGTTATCCTATAAAGAGAAGACATTAAAAACTGTAAGTTTTGAAAAATAACAAAACTTTCATTTTTGCAGGTTTATTTATATTTTTACAGGAGACCGATGTATATCAAAATCACAATTGCAGTAAAAGGTGTTTATAATAAATTAACTATTACAATCAATTTTTTTTTTTAAATCAAAACAGGAACATTAGCTGCTAATATGTCCTATTTTAGATAAATCCAATTAGATGCTTCTACAGAGTTTGGTTTTCTGTTTGATTAACATAAAAAGGGGTCCCTGTTAGCAGTAGGAATTTTCATAGCAGCCCATTCCAAATGCATCATTATTTCAACTACAGCTTGCAACTAAAAACGTTACATGTGAAAATATGAAAGAATGTGGATATAAAGTTATAGCAGACTTAAAGCCTGAACCATGAATGTTTTCCTGAAATGCTTCCGCTTTAAGTACCCATTTTTCAGGCTTTATAACCATTTTACCGGAAATGTAATCAGACCTATGATCAGATATGAACAAACAAAGCTTTTAGATATTAAAGCGAGACCTAAACTGCTTTTGTTGTGAATGTGACTCCACAGATAAACATTCAGTATTACTTCCTGAAGAGCTAAGCACTCAGTATTAGTTTGCTACTTTTCTTTTTTTTATTCTTGTCTTTTAAACAATCAAATATATTTTCAACATGTAACACATGGATGAACAGAAAATTAATATGACTCATTTTTTTTTTATGTCTTGTAATTATCTAAAATGAGAATAAGTATAAAATACCCTCATCTTCCAGCTGCTCTGATGTGTCATTATCTTCAGTGTGGGATCATTTATTAAATATTTTCTGTAAGTAGAAAAAAGAAGCAAGCTTTATTACATTATTTTGGATCTCATTACAGGCACATGGTATTTGACTATGCATAGTCGTTACCAGATAATGGTCCACCATAGCCTTCTGAGCATCTGTTGCATGGTTTAGTGCCATAATCATAGCAGTTATGAAACCATATTATATATATGTCCCTTTGTTGAGATGTTTGTTTCACATTTGACATTGCTATACTACATAATCTATTTCTATACTATATAGCTCTGTTTGCACTGATTAGATTATCTCACCTCTACTACCAAAGATAAACTAGCAGCATCTTTAGACTACCCAACTTATAACAATCAGATAGCTGTAGTACAGTCTTAGATTTGCAGCTTTAAACCTTCAGCCCAAAAAGGGTCAGACAAACTTCCCATTTTACTCAGTTTTAAATGCATGTCACAACATAATTTGGAAAAAAAAATAGATCTACCTAATTTTTCTATTTTGAAAAAGTAACAGTTGGGGTTCTAGAAATGATCCTCTTTTTCGTTAAACAGCAGCGAAAGCGATAATAAAGGAATAACCCATTCCTAGTCTTGACTTGTCTTTTTGTTTAACATAAAAAAAACTGTAAAATCTAAATTCCAGGTTTATCTTTTTTGGTAAAAGTAGGATTTTGGCAGATAGATATGTCTTAACGGCCTATATTTATAGTATTGCCACAGTAATCAGAATAATCAAAATACTCAACTTATGAGGTTGATAAATGATAAACTAAGACTCCTTTTCACTGTTATTTGCCCCATTCTGAATCACTCACTTTTTGCTGTTCATTAATTCATGCTTTTCTGAATAACGCAAATAAAAGATGCAACTGGTTCAAATGCAAGCAGCACAACAATATCTTAATTTTCTGCTGTTCCACTTAAATAATCTTAGACAAAGAGCATGAGATTTGAGTGAGTGCTGAATATAATTTGTTGGGAGTAAGTGGGACATGAATAATTAAGGTTGGGGATACACAGAGCTGTGTTCATGGCAGGGCGAGGGGAGCGGGAACCTGCCACTTCCTGCTCTGTGCGTGGGGTTAATCAGCCTTCAAATGGAGTCTATTCATTTGTCAGAGTCATGTGGGGTTTAAATGTAAAAGTAAACACTCCGTCAGCCCTATTGTCACAAATTGCTTTTCACCACTGAATAAACTCAGTTGTTTTTTTCTAAAATGAAATAAACACAAGCAATCAAATTTACCCCAAAAATTTAGCGGTGAAAGAAATGTGTCAAAGTGTCATGTGTGCACAGGTGGACATCACATCTGAGTGCCTCTCACTCTAAGCTCTGTCTCCATGAGAGACTGTTTATTGTATGGAGACCCAGACTGGAGGCTTCTGGAAAATGGGGTTGCCATGGCAACAGCAAGCAGCCAGAGATGCTGCTTGGTCTGCGCTGTGACGCTCTTGGTGGGGGCGATTGGGGCGTGGGGATCGCCCAGAGATGGAGAGAGCATGATGATGGTAGTGGGGGGGGGTGTTGGATTGGTTAAAGTTAGACCCTGGCTCCCCACAGAGCCGGCGCGATGCTGCCACTCGGACCAGAACATCGTGACCCCACAGTTTCCTCAGTGTGACTAAGCACATTGTATTTGTGTCATTGCCTCTGCTGGTACAGAGTCTGCAAGAATGCACACCTGCAAGCAGTTCCTCATTGTGAAGCAGAACGTGTTTGTTTTTCTGAGGCCCAGCCTCTTATCTGCAGACAGACAATGTTCACTATGGCACTGTCTAAGGGTTTTGGTCCCTTACCAAGGTATCTCTCTTCCACAGCTTTGTTAAAACACTTGACTACGCCTCCACTACAGATATATCCCTAATACATCATGTAGTGTGTAGCATAAACCTGTTCAGATAGCTTCCCTGATCTACAATGCCTCCCAAAAGCAACAATGGCCATTTAACTGATGTTAAACCATTCCTTTTTTTCTGAAAGAATAAGATTCAGTTCAAGCAGCTGCTGTAAAAAGTTGACAGATTTGTAAAATGAGTCCAGCTGTTTATTCAAACCTCTGAATAAATACTTCTCTTCTTAGAGATCATTGGTGAACAAGCACAGCTGATAGTTCAAGGAGCCAGTTATAGTGACATTTAAAGCAGCGTTAGATGGTAGAAACAGCACTTCAATGCTCTGTAGCCCATGGTAACTCTGTGTGACCTGCAGAGATCCTCCGCATATTTCTTTCAAGGATGAAAATCAAGGAGGAAGCCACTGTTGTAAGGCAGCCTTTAAAAGAAAGGCATCTGCACATAAAGGAGAGGGATACAGCATGCTTATGGAATGTGTTCTGTTTACATGAGAGCAAGTTAAAACTACCAGTGGCTAAACTACCAGAGTGAGCTTATTTGTTTAAGAGAATAGCTGATCTTGGACTAAATCCACCATATCGTGGTGGCAGCATAATGCGGTGGGGATATTTTTCCTTACCTTTTAGGGGCCACTCTGTTGTAGGATGTACTAGTTTGAGCCCCCTGCTTCATCCAAATGAGTCGTCGTGTACTTGGCCAAGCACTCAAACTGCATTGCCTACCGATGTTGGTCAGAGGGCTCGCTGTAAGGAAGCCTCACTTCTGTCAGTGAGCCCCAGGGCAGCTTTGGCTAGACTGTTGCTTGTTGGAGAATGACTCAATGTAGATCACTCCCTGAGTAGAAGAAAGAAATTAAGGTTTTAAGATGTTGCAGCAGATGAGGTCTCAAAACACAGTGGCAAAACATGCAGCAGGCAAGGTGTAACCAAAGGTGGTATAGGGCAGGAAATCTCATGAGGCAAGAGAAGCAACACAAACACAATTCAGCAAGGCAAACACAGATCATTGAACCTTACTTCTGATCTAACCACCTAATATGTATGAAGGAGATAGAAATAAGATAACCACAAAAAGTAGAACAGCAGATTAGTAATATCTCTACAACATTTGCACAACCAAAATAGACCCCATTAAACTAAAGCTGATTTAAAACTGTTTCTGTTCTCACCACTTATCTAAAAAGTTATATAAAAACATGCAAATATTTTTTTAAGCATCAAGTCCTCTCACAAATATGAAGTATGTGTATACTTTTTATTTTACACCTGTTATGTGCCTGTCTCCAGCAGTCTATGGGCAAGAGGCAGGATACACCCTGGACAGGTGGCCAGTCTGTCGCAGTGCAACACGGAGACAACCATGCACACACACCTAGGGCAGTTCAGAGACACAATTTATCCTAACAGTCATGTTTTTAGACTGTGAGAGGAAGACTTAGTACCCAGAGAGAACCATTACATGCTGGGAATTGCTGCAATGCAACAGTGCTACATGAAATGGAGGATGGGAATTGTAGAGTGTGCTGCTATATAAGGGTAGAGTAAATTAGGAATCTGTCCTCGTCTCTTATGTTCATCGCCTTGATCATTATCAAGCATCCTGGGCTGAGTGTTAAATCAGAATCAGAATCAAGTTTATTGCCAAGTAGGTTTGCACATACAAGGAATTTGACTTGGTGTTGTTGGTGAAGACAAAAAACAAAATAAGATAGAATATACCGGTATGCTATAATGCTTTGTACACAGTCTATGAAAGATGTTCAAATAAATTTTAGCAGAAATCAGATAGATAAATAGATTAGGTCAACATCAGTTGGTGCATCTGCTTATGGTTGTATGGGTTTAGGTATCATTACATATACTATGCTGCTATTTTTAGGTAGCACTGAACCAAACACTACCAAATTTCTGTATGAGGTCAACATTGCAATATCTGGGTCACACCCCTTTTCTTGTCCAAATTAATTTTTTACGTCAAAAGATCAGTATTCTTTCCTTTGATATGGCAGATCATTTTTCAAGTTGCACATCCATTATGTAAATCTCCTGCTGCACCAAAATCCCAAGGCGTGTCTCTTTGGATAAAGATCTGGTGACTGTGCAGACTCGCTGCCGTCCTCAAGAAAATACTTAGGGATAATTCGAGTTTTGCAACGTGGTAACTTATCCTGCTGCGACGAGCCATCAGATGCGGGGTCCATTTTAGTCATGAAAGAATGGACATGCCCAGCTGTAATACAGACACTTTTTAGAATATATTCACTGTTCAGATAGAACAGAGGAGCCCGAAGTGTTCCAAGGAAATATCTCTATTTTCATGTTGTTTACACTAAAACCAGAACCTACTATATTGATCTATCAGACAACATCTTATTAATGTGTAAATGCCCTGTTTATGGGAACCTGCGAGTCTCAATTATTTCGTAATGAATTCGTAATGAATTGGACTGTCATCCAGTGTGGCATTGTGCTGCTATTGGCCATCTGCTTGAGGTCAAATCAAATTGAATGCCTACATTACAACGGACACACAGGAAGACAAATTCTAAACCAGAACACAAAAAATTAGATTTGCATAATATTGGTAACAGAGCTAATATATAGTCTATATGAGCACAGTAAAGAACCACTTTAAAAAATTGAATGAATCAGAAAAACTTAGTTTTTTCTCAAGAGAAAATTTTAGTAAATGCAACAAATCAGGTATAGGGAGCTAAAAAGAAGGAAAAAAGAAAATGGAATAGACTTGAATTGAGTTTATTAAGGAAAGTTGGTGCTGATATCCCCGATAATAAAACTTTGGGTTAGATCTAAATTAAAATAATGTCATCTTTAAAAGAGAGGTGGATGAACTACAATTTTAGTCTAAAAATGAGAGGCATCTCCTTAGTAACCTTTGGTAGACTGGAACCTGTTCAGAGTGCACCTACCTCCATGTTGAATAGTTTTATTTTAACACTTTTCCAACCAATTAAAAGATACATCAAAAATGAGCTGCTTATATCCTTTGGAAGACTTGGTTACAAGAAGATTGTTTATGTAATGTAAAGGCTCTGTATTGGTCTGACAGAGAAAGTAGTCTCATTGAGACCAATATCTCCCCCGACTCAATAAAGTTTCATGAAAAAGTCGATCCCTCCAATTATATTTCAAACTCAAGAAGACATTTGGTCCAAAAATGGCTCTATAGCTTATCACTCAATAAACAGAAGAACTGAGCTCAATCTTCCATTTCTGCAATAAATTTACAAAATGAGATCGAGTTTGTTCTACCGATATGACTTTAAAATGAATAGATTAAATAGAGGATATTTGACTTTAATCGGAGATAATCACAGCTGATTTGCTGAACAAACAACAGTGTGGGTATTTTTCCTTTAGTTGACTTGATATTTTTCCTTTAAAACTTAAAGACTAACTAATTATTTTTTATTATGATTATCCCTTGTTTTTTTCTGGACTAAAGAAATTTAGGCACTGAGTACAGGCCTTCTGAATGCTTTCTGACTGACACAGACTGGAACATGATTGTCTTTAAGGTTGTTGAGATGGAAGCTGGAACTATCGGAGAAAACTGATTAATGTTAATCAAGGAATGGCACCAACATTAGCCCACCTTGCCTTCATGACACTTGTTTCTGCTCCACCAAAAGGGAGAAGGGGGCTCTAACAATCAGGGGCCCATAGCAGGCTGCTAATACTGCTAACACTACATCCACATGAATGTGCATTCGCACAAGTCAAATTCACATGCACACCATCGAGAGAGAAAAAAGTGGGCATGGCCCAGAGTGTTTTAAAACCTAGATAAACAACAAAATACTTTTGGTGCATCAGTATAGGTAAAAACAGCATCTGAAATGTGTTTTTCCTCTGGCCTTATTTAATTAGTACTAGAATGACCTCTGTGTATCTAAAATGTTGTTTGTGAAGTCAGATTACCTTGGATCTACAGAGTCATTTAGTGCTGTGGTCCGAATAGATTTAGTCGAGGAGGAAAAGTAGAATTGCGTTTTATGGAGACGGTTCTTTGTGGACTTTTCTGGTTTGAAAAATTACCTCACACATAAAAAAAATAAAAAATAAAAAACTGAAAAAACAAGACACTTTTACACTACATTTTCTGGCAGTTGAAGCTCAACACCAACATACTATTTTTAACATGAAAAGTCAGATTTATCGGTAATCCCTCCTTTACTATATACTACCCCCCACCTCTGAGGCGGACATGGCATGGTGGATCTTGCTCTGTCATCAATCTCAGGGTCCTGGACTAAAAAAAACCTTGAAGACCACCAGTCTAAGGTGTCAATTGGTTTGTCTGGATGTACAACAAAAGTGCTTGTCGTAATCTCAACTGGGAAAGTCTCTGTAGGATCTGTTGGCAGCATTGATAAAATGAAGATTTACTTAATTTGTTTGTCAGGGAATGTACTAAATCAGTAAGGGGGGAAACTGATATTTATCCCAAGCAGTAAATTAACTTTATACATTAAATCAGCTAATTTTTTGCTACCTAAAAGTTGTATCCATCCATCCATCCATCCACCCACCCACCCACCCACCAGTGGGGTCACGAGGGGTGCTGGTGCCTATCTCCAGCTGTCTACGGGCGAGAGGCAGGGTACAGCCTGGACAGGTCGCCAGTCCATCGTAGGGCAACACAGAGATAAACAACCATTCACGCACACACTCACACCTAAGGAGAATGTAGAGAAGCCATTTAACCTAACAGTCATGTTTTTGGACTGTGGGAGGAAGCAGGTGTACCCGGAGAGAACCCACGCATGCTCAGGGAGACCTAAAAGTTTTCATGTTTGTTTATTTACTTTCTTGCAAATCAATCTACAATGACCCAACAACAACCTTCTCAATATTTAGTTTGCCCTTTAATATGTGAGCTCACTCAGCTGAGAAGAAGAGAATATTCAGAACAATGTAATATACCAGTGTCACCATGTCAAATCCTCTGCTTACATTCTGCCTCTTGTAACATATTGAGTCCCTCATACATATTTAATTGTCAATGCTGGGTTTCATTTCTGCATGAATAATTTCCCTCTGTTTTTATTGCCGTCAATCTCTCTGCTTAGTTGTGTGCACCAGCAGTCAAGAATGGACCATGAGTCAAACTGTTCAAGAGCTTCATCTGGTAAGCCCAAGGGTACCGTGTGGCTTTTGCAGCGGGACTTGATACTGGATTGATGTTTTGTCTGTGTGTTCTTCAGGGCGTGTTGGGAGGACAATGCAGTGGGAAGTCTGCCCTCGTCCACAGACACCTGACAGGAAGTTATCAGCCGGAGGAGAACGCAGAGGGTTAGTTTAACATCTTTTTACTTCTAGCTGTTTTCTCGTTAGATTGCCATTTCATCATCTTGTCACTTCAGGGTGTTTTAGCTGGACAAACAGGATCAGAAGGACCCAAGGAGGAATGCAGCAGAGAGCTAAGGGGAGAAAAATGTGGAGACGTCTTAAGAATTTAGGCTATAAAAAAAACTTTATATGCTTTAAGTATCTCTCAAGGACCTAATTCATCTGAATATCACTTTTTGAGCTGAGCCTCAAATCCATAAGCAGAGTTTGTAGTTTGTCACGAAAATTAAAGAGACAGCAATATGTAGAAGAAGGGGCTCTGATTGGATGGGATTAAAATGAAACATTTTGGTTTAAATGTCAGTATCAATACTTGTGTATGCACCAGTAATGACAGCGTTTATTCTGACCAGGGCGTCAGTACATTAAGGACGTTCTGGTGGATGGACTGAGCCACCTACTGATAATCAGAGAAGAGACAGAGCTGCCAGGGCCTCAGGTGGGCTGCAGACTGATTAAACCTGATCAGAATAATCAACATATTCTACACATTTCATGGTTTTAATCGTCTTCTTCCTTGTGTCTTAGTTTGCCAGTTGGGTGGATGCAGTCATTTTGGTATTCAGTTTGGAAAATGAAACCAGCTTTCAGGAAGTTTACAAATTCTACCACCAGCTTTCTCTGCACCGGCCCATCACTGAGATACCTTTCGTAGTTGTCGGTACTCAAGGTAGGCCACCCCTGCTAAAGTATGTGCAGGTTTTTGTGGATGGGACTTTTTTTTTGTGTGTTTTTATTGAACTTTATTCCTTTCTCAGATAAAATCAGCAGCACAAACCCCAGAGTAATTGATGATGCCAAGGCACGACAGCTGTGTTCAGATGTGCGGCGCTGCACTTACTATGAAACCTGCGCAACCTACGGCCTCAATGTGAACAGAGTCTTCAATGATGGTGAGTGTTAACATTTGATTTGATGTTGCTGTTTTTTCCTTTTTTGAATTGGAATTAAGTTTTTTTTTTTTTATTGATTCAACAGCTGCTCAAAAGATTATGGCAGCCAAAAAACAAGCAGCTTTACTGGCTTCCTGTAAATCTCTTCCGAACTCTCCCAGTCACTCTGGAGGCTCCACCCCAGTATCTGGAGTCTTCACAGGACAGGTACACTTACTGTAATTCATTCCATGTATGTTTTAGGTCAGGTTTTGAAATAGCTGTTCGTCTCCCTCCTCTTGCTCAGTGTTCATACTCCTTCCTCCCCTCTGCTCCGATTCTCTCCTCTCTGTAGGCTAGTAACGGAGGTCAGAGCAGTGACTACTCGTCATCGCTTCCCTCCACTCCTGTGATCAGCCATAAAGAGATTGCTAGAACCTTGAGAGGGGAGAAAGGGGACAGTGGCGTGCCTGGGTCGGTCCGGAGCGTCCGCAAACGCACACCTAGATTTGTTGTGAGTGTAGCACAAACCTCGATTTTCCTTTTTTTTCTCCTTACAGGTAAACTAGAATAGCTCTGAAAAGTACATTTATTTGAACAGTACAAGTTTAAAATCCTACATCATATATAATATATATTTATTAGACACACATTTACCAGAAGCCTCCCTCCGATATATATATATATATATATATATATATATATATATATATATATATATATATATATATATATATATATATATATATATATATATATATATATAAATAAATTATTAAATGTATTTCTGGCAACCTTTTTTTTTCTATTGTTTTGCATTGTAGAGCTTGATGGAAACAGAAAAATTTGACTTCATTAAGCAGAAAATAAAGCTTTTTAGGCTTGTTTATGTTTTTTTATTTTCTTTGAAAGAAAGTAAATGCTCTAAAGAGGATATGGAAAAAAATGTTTTTCCAATAAACACAGTGAATAGTTTCCTGATATGACTGATCAGCTGTTTCCACCTCCACTGGCATCCTGAATGAAGCATTTGAATTACACTTCTTTCTTGATGTTTTCAAATGGCATTAACTGTTGCTAATACTAGCTGACACGATAACGTAAAAGTTGCCCATTTATAATAAAATCCCTGATCTGTGTTCTCCGCTAGCTTACCAATTCTACTTCCTGTTTTTACTACAGCCAGACTTAACATCAGCAAATGACGGCATTACGTTTTGCATCGCTTCATCAGTTTTCTGCAGTCGATAGAAAGGTGTCTAATTCTATTTTTGTTTTTGCTTTTTAAGAGTTCCCTCAAAATTAACAGTATTTGGATTAAAGCACAGCTGCTCTGGATTCTTTGATGGTGAGCTAAGATGGTCCTGCTGCAGCAAAGTATTCCCAAACCACAATACTTCCACCTTAGTGAGGCACAGTTGGTGTGAAGCTCTTTCCATGGAAAGCTGTATTTGGGTTATATCACAGATTTTTTCTTTGCTGATTTTCTAATACTTCAACCTGTCTGTTTATCTTCTTAGTTAAAACAATTTTAACGTGTTAAATGTAGGTTTTATTTAGCACCTAGTACTTTGCGCTCAGGTTAGCCTTGGTTACACAACCTAGGCTGGGCATGTTGGTAGTTAATTTTAATGTCATCCATCGACTATTTCCCATACAGTGAAAGGGCTGGTGTTGATCTGATATGTCATTTTGAGATTCTTAAGTGGCCAATAGGTGCAAACGTGCCAAAAATGAATAAATGTGCAGCAAATACAGACATTAATGAAAAAACACAACAATACACAAATGCACATGCAACACATGCAAAGACAATGTAGAGACGAGTGAGTTAAGAAAAGCTGCTAACTAGCTTCAGATAACGGATGTGCTCCACACCACTAGGTGGAGATGTTATATAGCACTATAGACCTTTAGCCAATACATAAATGGGATGCCCAGTGTTTAAAAAGGGTTATAAAAGATAAATGTCATTTTCTTTCTTCCTTCCAAGTTTCCTCTGGGCGGGGATCAGGTTTTTACAGAAGGCCTGATTTGTGGACATTCATTTGAAATACATTTCTATTGTCTGGTCCCATGAGTTGATTATAATCGCCCCCCAGTGGTTTGGAGCACTTCCGTTACTATCGCATGTTAACTTTTCTTAACTTGCACTTGTTTTTTGCTACTAGCTGTATTTTTCCTCAGATTGTGTTTCTTGTGTTAGTGCATCAGACTAAGTATGTGTGTGTTTGCTGTACTTTTTCTATTGGTTGCACTTTTGTATATCTGCAGCAAGTTTGCACCCTTCTTCCATTTGTATTTTTATAGAACAGGAATTCCTGTTTTATAGTTATATTTCATGTAAGTATATGTCTGACAGTAATTTTTTTACAGATGCTTTCTTTAAACATCTGTATGTTGTGTTAAAAAATAGGCTATGTCTCTACACCTTGAAGCTTTCTTTTTCCAGTTCTTTTCCTGAAAAGAGATCACCCAGGACAGACTCTTTAAATAACATTTCATAACTTGTATGTATTTAATAAGCATGAGACATGACAACAGATTCTGATAGAAATTGTAATCTTACTCAGATCAGAGAAGCTGCTTAGAGTTACAGAAGGCAGCTGCTTACCCCCAGGCTCAATTCTCGGGAAGTGGCCCCAAATAACGGTTAAAGAGGCATTTTATTCATTTCCAGTCTGCCACATTGTCACATTTTATATCACACACGTTAGCAGATGATGAGACATCCATGGCTCCAGCCTTATCAAAATATTACACTTTGTTCTTAGCTGAAGGACATGTTCTCATTCCATTCCCAAATATTTGCCACATACATTGAAGAATATAGCTGTATATCCGATTATAGCTGTATATATGTTTTCCATATAGAGGAACAGTCTTAATTAGATAAACTATTGGGGAAAACATCAGTTCTGACACACAACAGGCAGGTAATGTTAAGGTGTAATAAACTCACACATCATCAATGATAATTATCCTAACAGTTGTACTATAAGTTTGATCAGAACTGTAGCTGTAAAGTTGGATCAAAAGTGCAGAAGGTTAGATGTGACCTTGTATTTTTCTGATGTTACTGCTCTGTGCAGCGCCAGCCTTTCCTATCAGCATCATCTTCCCAGCTGATGTAATTTCCCCATTATTGAATAATAATCTTAACTAATTACTCCATTCCTGCCAATGATGCAGCTTTTCCTTCCCTCTGTGCAGGGCCGCAGAGGCAGCGACTCAAACAGGCGGAGTGCAGATTTTAAGGGCGACTTCGGCAGCGGGAGATTCATCCCCATCAAACAGGTAAGATACGGATTTCTTTGTGATACAGGAACAGATAATTGTATCTGATGACCCCCAGCTGAGGTCACGAAGCCAGCAGTTGCTGCAGGATATGTGAAGGTAGTTTGTCATAAAGAGCTGCAGTCTCTCATGCTGGTGTGTTAAAGGGACGGTGGGTGTTTTTGGCACCCAGTGAGTCTTCATGGCACCAAAATATGTGACAATATAGAAATATATTTTCCATTTTTAGTTGTCTTTTTTTAATCACCATCAGGGCATCTTGCTAAAGCGCAGTGGGAGCTCGCTCAACAAAGAGTGGAAAAAGAAATATGTCACTCTATCCAGCGATGGCATCCTCTCGTATCACTCCAGTGTCAATGTGAGTCCCAGTGTTCCAACTCTGCCCTGCAAACCTTTTCACTGAAGCCTGAGACTGAAAGTCTGCTTTATGGCTTTGTCAGGATTACATGCTGAACACTCCTGGGAAAGAGATGGACCTGCTTCGAGTGACTGTTAAGGTCCCCGGAAAGCGCCCCCCTCGTGCTGTACCGGCATGCCCTGCTGGGCTTAATGGTCGCGCTAAAGATATGCTGGGACCTGAAGGTAAAGGCTCCAGTTTGTATACCTACAGAAGGAATAAAGAGAATTTTAGATGCCTTCACAAGCAAATGCATGTAGTGCACCTTAATTTATCATATTAGACCATACATTTACAGGCATCAACATTCTAAAACAACTATGCTAAACATAAACTAAAAGTGCCACACACAAAAAAGACGATGGATGGATGGATGGATGGATGGATGGATGGATGGATGGATGGATGGATGGATGGATGGATGGATGGATGGATGGATGGACAAAAAGACAGACAGAATGATGGATGGACGGACAAAAGGACAGAATGATGATAGATGAATTTACGGATTGAAGGACGGAATGATGGACAGATGGATGGTATCATGGATGGACTGGATGATGGACAGATGGATGGTATCATGGATGGACTGGATGATGGACGGACAGACCTATGGATGGATGGATCCATGAAGGAACTCACACTGCTCTTACTTCTGCAATAAGCACTCATTTGCTATTGCATTCATTACAACGCTGCTTCAGTTTATTGAAGTATGAAAACTTCTCACAACTTAACGCCTTCTCTCCACTAGAAGTTGCTATGTTAAAGTTCATCTTTAGACTTTTACTAAAATAAAAGTATAACTACTCCAAATGAGCTCAGACATTTCTAAAGAAAGAAATTCAGCCAGAATAATGTAACATGCATGCATTACTTTTAAACTGCTTGATTTCTGACTCCCTTTTGTGGTAGATTTGCTGATGTACTTAAGTTGACTGTCTTGATGCATGACCCAGTTTCTTTCATGCAGCCTCTGCTGTCAGGCAGATGTTTTTCACATTTGACTCTGCAGCTTTTCAAAGCCAGCTAAGCCTCCTGATCATTGTGACTCACATCTAGTAAAAAAAGAAAGTTAGAAGAAGCAATTATTGCAAATAGCTTAAATCATGCAGATAACAGGTTAATAAACCCTAGTCAATGCCTTCATTGTCATATATATGGGCTGCAACTAAAAACTGAACTGAGATATATGCATACAAGGCCATTGCAATTTTTGAGAAGGGCTTTGCACACTCAATTGGAAGGGCATTGTAGCAGAGCAGTCTTAAAAACGTTACCAAAGGTAATAATAAAGATAAATGTGAACCTATAATTTATGCTGATCTTACTTTGCAGTTAGAAATCCTATTTCTGTCATTGGTTTAGTCAGTACAAGTGGCCTCCTGCAAATGGAGGAGGTTGAAGGATTGGGCGGGGCTTTATTCCTGAGAAGCAACATTGGTGTTCAGCGCTGCTCATCCACACTGTCCAACCATGCCCAAGGTGTTGGTGAGTAAAGCAAAGCATTTCTTTGGTCCAATGTTGTCGTTAAAACAACGTTGCAGCAATCAAATGTATAACTTTTGACATTTTCTTTCTGCACTCTTGGGGCCAGACTCTGCAGTCGAGGGAGTCTCCAGCTCCTCATCTACCAAAGATGTTGGCTCAGCCTCCCCGCTGACCGACAGGAAGAAGCACCGCAGAAAGAAGAGCATGAATCAGAAAGGAGACACAGCTGTGGGCCAAGCAGACGGTGCAGTTTTTTAATTATTTTTTTCATGCAAACATTTTTTTCTTGTTCTTTCTAATGCATATTGCTGCCTGGTTTAATATGCAATAAAAAATGTGTCGATTTTTGTCTTTTCAACATTGTGTTTGTTCCTTTTTTTAAATTGCAGCTAAACGGAAAATGTGGAAACTGAAAAGTTTTGGGAGCTCCAGAAACGTAAGCAAAACAGGTAATATCTGAGTATACCACTACATGTTTTTAGAAATATTTAATTTAAATTATGTCCAATTGCACTGAAATATTCAGTTATTGTGCCTCATAAATCCAGCTTGAATATTTAATCCTGCCAGCTAAAGTACTTTGTACTGGACATAAAGAATTGTTGATACTAAAGAGTGCTTTTATAAACAAATCAAAACTCCAATTCCATTCAAGAACGTTGGCCGACAGGCTGAGATGTTTGTTATAATAGCTTCAGGTTAGAGGTTTTTATTCAAGGACCACCCTGTGTCTTTCTCCATCCATGTCATCTTCAGCTCCAAACAGCTCTCAGCAGAAAAAAATTATCCCCACACCATAACACTGTCACCATCATGTTTCACGGTGGGGCATAAAATGTTAAGGATGATGTTCAGTATAAAAAGTGGGTATAATCTCAAATATACCTTTGTGGATAACCCTGCTTGTCTCTGTTGTGTCAGATGAAGACAACTTTGACTTCCTGGTTGTGTCGAGCACCGGCCAGACGTGGCACTTTGAAGCCCAGAGTGTGGAGGAGAGGGATTCCTGGGTACAGGCCATTGAGAGCCAGATCCTGGCCAGCCTGCAGCTCTGTGAGAGCAGCAAGAACAAGGCAAGGACAAATCCACAGCTTAGGACTAAGTCTGTGTGTTTAGCTAATTTAATGTGAACAGAATCCTTCCAATTAATTCCTAAACTTTGTCATTTTAAGCTTCACTCAACATTTATTTAGCACATTTCATTTATAGTAAAGATGGATCACAGTGCATTACAAAAATCTAGAAGTATACAGGCAGAGATACTAGCAAGCCTCCTGTCACCACCTGACCACCCACACAATAAAGTAGATGCACACTCACACAGACTCATAATTGGCTGTGGAAACCAAGGAAACGCTTCCTGTAACCATAGGTGTCTGCAAAGCTTGACAGATAACCATATACATTTTAATGGAAAACTAAGGTGTATGTAACAAAAGAATAAACTTGAAAGCATGGCAATGTTTAGAAAAAACAATGATCTATTTGTTAAGTGCTCAGTGGGGGCACCACAAAAACTGATTTAAAAATAAATCTCTCACCGATAGAATGAGTATTTTTGTCTTTGACATAAAATAAGTAGATATTATGCACCTCAATTAAGATAAAGGGGTTTCCTTGTTTTTAAAGTGATTTATCTTACTCCACCTGCAAATTGTCTTGCTTACCTGCTCAAATCAAGGTACCGTACTATACTTGCCCAAAGAAACGTTGCTCTTGAATCTTAAGTCAAAAAGCAAATCAGGCTGATATTTATAGGGTAAGACCACATAAAGAAATGGAAAGCACAGTTCTTCAATCATTTTTAGTGAATGCAAATAGGTGTGTTGATTGCTTCTCATCTCTAACCTTCTGTTTTCCTGCAGGATCGCAAGAACAGCCAAAGTGAAGCTGTGGCACTACAGGCGATCCGCAATGCGAAAGGGAACAACTTCTGTGTTGACTGTGATGCTCCAAGTTAGTATTAATCCCTCATGGCTCCTTTTCTGTTATTTTGTTCTCTGCCACAACACTATACCTCTGTACATTTCTGTCTCTATGTGGGCTTTTCATATCCGTTTACTTTTCTTCATCAATCTGAACTTATTTCTTTTTTTGAAATGTTATGTTTGAAGCTGATTTCTCTATTTATGCCTTTTGCTGAAAAAAAATAAACCATATTTAAATTTAGATATTAAAAGTTAGTAGGGAGATAAAAACCATGACTCTTTTTTTCAATGTCAAACTTACTGCTGGGATGCCAGCTTTTCAGCATGGCAAATATACAGTCTGGAAATGGACTGCAAGGTTGGCAACAGATGGGATCCTGTGGGTCACATCAGGACTCTGTTAATTTTATGCATACATTTGATGAAGGAAATCTTTGGTTCAAAAAGTTGGACCCATATGGGTCAGATCCATTAGAAATGTAAACTTATGACCCAAACTGAGCTCAGTTAAGACCTATTATAACAGGGGCCCTGCTGGTTTTGCTGATATGGGCTGTTTTTAAACAATCCTAATGGACCTTAATGTGACTCCAAACCCGCATAGGGTTAGAGTCTGAACAAGTGGGCAATCAAATGAATTTGTGGTAATTTTGATAATCAAAAAAAAAAAAAAAAAGGACAGAGCATGATCCGACTCCAGCTCTTAGACAATCCTTAAGAAGCGTCCAAAAGAAAGAATCTCATTAATAATGATTCTGAACCAGATTGATGTCTCATTCTTATTCACTGTTTCATCCCTGAAGATCCAACATGGGCCAGCCTGAACCTAGGGGCTCTCATATGCATCGAGTGTTCTGGGATTCATAGGAACCTGGGGACCCACTTGTCACGGGTCCGCTCGCTGGCCCTCGACGACCTGCCGAGGGAGCTCACCCTGGTTCTCAGCGCCATTGGCAACCACATGGTCAACAGTATATGGGAAGCACGCACAATGGGCCACCGGAAACCAGCACCTGATGCTACACGGTAAATAAAGTCTGTCTGTACATTTTTGCTCACTGGTTTGTCATAAATCCCCAACACCTCACCTTTTTTTCCTGTCTTCCTTGTGGGTCTTTCTTAGAGAGGAGCGGGAGTCGTGGATCAGAGCCAAGTATGAACAGAAACTGTTTGTGGCGCCGCTGCCTCCACCCACACCCAGCGAGGGCCCAGACATCAGCATGTCGGGCCGTCTTCTGTTGGCAGTGATGGAGCACAATCTGTCCAAGCTGCTGCTCCTGTTGGCCCACTGCACAAAGGAGGACATCAACGCCCCTCCCTTCCTGTCGCTCCCCTCCAGGTCGCTCCTGGCCCTGCGTCTGCCTGGCTCTGCCCTGCACGCTGCCTGTCAGCAGGCTGATGTGGTGATGACGCAGCTTCTAGTCTGGGTGTGTTTTATTTACCCAGTATTAAATGCAGTCTCTTGCTACTATATATATATATATATATATATATATATATGGACTTTAACTAGGTGATTCCAGCACATGAAAGTCAGCATGTCTAAAGCCTTAATTGTAGTATTTTAGGATTATTGTCCTGCCGGAAATCTAACCTTCCCAGTTTCAACTCTTTTGCGGCCTCCAACATGTGTTTTGAAAGAATTTGTGTGCATTCATTTGCATTCATCTTCCTACTAACTCCAAACAGCTCCTCCGCCCCTGCTGAAGTAAAGCACTCCTTCAGGATGATGCTGCCACCACTATGTTCCACAATAAAGATGGTGTGTTTAGGGGTTCGGTTTTTCACCGAATGTATTCCAAGCATTTTTTTTTCTACTTTGAACTTTGACCGAAAGCACCTTCTCCCACTTTGCTGTGTCCCTTACATTACTTCAGGTAAAATACAAAGGAACATTTTTTGCAAAATCTTCCAAACAATAGATTTGTTGTATGTAGACTCTAGTTATCCTTTTATTAGGTTTTCCCACTTAAGCGGTTGATCCTAGCAGCTCCTGCAAAGCAACCCAGGTCTCTTGACTACTCCTGTGATTAATGTTCTCTTGACTTCTAAAGATAATCAAACTGAATTTCGTTGAAGGGTACAAGAATAAAATGGGTGTAGATACAGCTGCACATTGTGTATTTAAGACTTTTATGTGTGACTATTGCTGGTGAGTCATTGTAAATTTTGCTTTCCATTTATAGAATACAAAGATCCTGTCAAACTATGTTGTACTTTGTGTTATGCGACAGAATATGTGGTGGTTTAGAAGCTGTTAGTATTGCTGCTAGAGATGCACCAATCTGATATTAATATCTGTATCGGTCCCAGTGTTCAAAATTATAGATCTAGTGTCCGTGATAATGGGCCTTAATCATAGTGGCAGACTTAATATGTATCATACTTGTTTGTACTGAGGGGTTTATGACGGCTTCGATAGGGAGTGGCGGCCTAGTGGTTAGGGAATTAGGAAATAGGGCTTTGAATCCTGAGATTGTGAGTTCGATCCCCCGCTCCCACAGACTGCCACTCTGGGTCCCTGAGCAAGACCCTTAACCTCACACTGCTCCCTGGGCGTCTCACAATGGCAGCCCACTGCTCCCCAAGCGGATGGGTTAAATGCAGAGAAGTAATTTCCCTCTGGGATTATTATTAGAGTATATAAAACAGCATCAGTAATGATGGTAATATTAAAACACAGCTGTGGTGTCAGGAAAAGTATTGGGATCCGCAGTAATTAAAGTAAGCATCGGAATCAGATTTGAAGTGAAAAAATTTGGATTGGTTTTTCTCTGCTTTCTGCAAAGCACTGTTGATACATATTTGTCATCCACCCACTTTAACCAGATTTGTTATCCTCCGTTTCCGTCTCCAGTATGGCTGTGACGTCCGGCACCGGGACGCCCAGGGTCAGACGGCGCTGGCCCTGGCTCAAAGCGCTGGAAGCCAGGAGTGCGTCGACATCCTGCTGCAGCACGGCTGCCCTTGTGAGCCGGCTCCCGTTTTCAGCACCACGGTTGGATTTGCGTCTGCTGTGACATCCAGCTTCCCTGCTGCCATGACGCCAAGCTTGACGGTCGCCACCACGATCAAAATCACACAGAAGAGCAGCGGCGCCAACCTGGGTTACAGTACATCTAGAAGAGCTGTGTCATAAAGCGCAGAGTGTTTTTTTAAGTTAGTGTGTCACTGCTTCGCCCTCGTAGAGTCCTATCCATCCACACGGACAAACTGACAGATACCATCCACCTAGAGTCAGATGAGATTTTAGGAGGTGTGCGTGTTTCAGGGATGAAAACTGGAGAATACACTGTGCTGGGCTGATCCCCCCCCCCCCCTCCCTTTTTTTTTCTGGCAAAATGTCTGTGCATTCAGATTTAAGTAGAATGTACTAAACTGTTTACCAGAGACATATCTCCTCATGCAGTCATTGCTAGGCGATATTCTCCACTCTATTATGAGTGGAAAAGCGCCTTCAGGCCTCAAACTGCTTCTCTGAGCAGCCAAAGCCCAGAAGTATAAGAACTGCAATACGTTTACTAATCTGAAAGTGGGATGTATTGAACTCGTAGCATAAAAAGATTATGGCTAATGTTAATTCTGACAGTGAATGTGAGTTTTAGATTCCTCGGAGCTTGTCATTAAGTGCATAAATTATGTTATTTGTAAGTTGATGTGAAATATGTTAGTGGCTGGGAAAGGGGATAAAATAACTGTATAGAGAAGCGTTGATAAAACGGTAAAATACTACAAATTTCAAAGTGTCTCATTTCCAGTTTATTACTGTATGATTTGTACAGTTGTTTCTGTGTATAAAACATACAGAGGTTAATCATTGCTGTTCAGAGATTACCTGTACAGATTTTTCGTTTTTCCCGCTTAACTCAGATTTGTTTATTTTTGCCTTTTGTCTGTTCTTGGTGTGTCTGATGTAAAACATTGTACATACAGCTGTAGCTCATTGGTAAAGTGACTATAGTACAAGATATGTGTTCAGTGATGTGAAAAAGTTTTCACCACTTACAGATTTCTTTGACCATTGCTTTTTGTCGCACTTAGATATTTCAGATCCAATAAATTCTACAAAGAAACATGGGTTTACGCAAATTACCACTTAAGAATGTTTTATTTGAAACAGAGAGAGAGAAAAAAAATCTAAGCTTAATTTGGAAACTCTAGCTTTTTTTCAGCAAGAACTGCCTTTTAAAAATTCTTGATGTATTTGGATTTTGGTCTAGATTTTCTCTAGATCTTTTGGAACGTTAATTTTAGGGGAATGTTTGGGTAAATCTGAGGTGGAATTGCTAGTTGCCGTGGATACTTGGTTTGCTGCAGTGTTTTGGGCCTAAGGTGCCAATCTGAAGGCTGGACATTCTTCCTTAGAATAATTCCTGTTTGCAACTATTACAGCAAATCATCCCAGTCTTGAAGCAGGAAAGTAGCCCAGATCATCACACTCCCACCGCTATGCTTGACTGTAGGAGTAATATTTATTTCTGATATATATAGACCTTTGGGTTGTTTGTTTAATTCCAGATGTATGAGGACCAACGCCTTTAAAAACATTTTTTATTGAGTCAATCGAATATTTCAACTATCCATTGAGCCATCATGTTATTTTTTTATCAGTGGTGGTTGTCTCTTCGAGCTTTCCCATTAGTTTGCTTATATTTAATTGTTGAATAAACACGGACCTCAAATCAACATGAATGGAGTTTAGATGTTTTCTTTCCTTTTTTTGCTTGTTGGAATTAACAATTGCCAACAAGATTACGGCTGTTTCATGTTTTCTCCATTTGTGAATAATGGTTCTTCTCTGTGGTCCAAATATTACACAAATGTTTTTTGTAACTCATTCTCAGAAGGTTGAATATTTTTGTGTTCTTATTCTTAATTTTCTGTTCTTGGTGTGTTCCTTTTAGATAACGTTTAACGTAGTTCATTTTTTTTTCTTAATTACGTCCGTTTTAAGTGTGCCATGTATACAGGGTTCTGCTGTAAAGCTATCCAAAGAGCTTTGTTTAGATACTGTTGTTTCCCTCAAATGAAATAATTAGAACAATTTATTTACTCAGATCACCACTGCTTGATGAAAGGAAAGTTTTGATCTTGAATTTTAAGTGTGGCAAAAAGCTAATAGCATTCTGTAAGGCAGAAATACTTCTTCTCATCACATCACACAACTGAGATGACTAAATAAATGAAATGACTTGGTTTTTGACTGAATGTAGATAAACATTTACGCTGATGTGTTTTTTTTTGTTTTGTTTTGGGTTTTTTAAAGAGGATACAATTTTTGACTAATGTTCCCGGTGTGAAGACTAGAAATTAAAGGTATACTTTATATGATAACAGCTTTCAAATGTATAAAATACGCCCTTCGAATAAAGTTTCTAAGCGACTGAAAACATACACGCAATAGAGGAATGTTCTCCAAATGTATTTTAAATCTAAGAGTATCTTATATAGCTATCAACCCTAATGCAGTACTGGAGGTACTTCAGTTGTGACCAAATGCTGGCCTTTTTTATTTTCTGCAATTAAGCTGTTCTCTCTTGTTTTGTTTTTTCCCATGACCTTTTTTTTTAACCCATTCAATAAATCAAAAACAGTTGTTCTTAAAACTAAATGGTCATTCTTCTATGCTGTGCTGTTTTTGTAATTTTCATGTGTTCAGATTTTATTGATTTTTTTTCTGCTAATAAACTGAACCACTGTAAAATAACGTTCCTTTATTTGGACAAACCTCTGTTGAACTTTCCTGCAGATAAAGGAATTATCTGCAGGTCCCCGACCCACGTCTTTCTAAGTTGCATATATTTAATGGGAGTGTATGTGATACAACACATTCTAGTGAAACATTTTCAATCTTTTTTTTTTCTTTTTTTTTTATTTAAGTATAGAACATTAGGGCCTCAACCGGTTTCAGGTCACCAAAAGTCAATGCTTTGTAGAACTCCATTTCTATTAAAACTGCAAGTCTCCCAGCATACCTCTGTCTGTATGTTTAGTGTCAACGTTTTTTTAAATGTTTTCAAGTCTTTTAGAGGGTTTTTTCCCCCTAATGGTCACTCTGTATTCAATCCTCTGTTAGCTTCTTACAGTATCTGCATAAATATCGCTGCTAAAGAAAAGCATCCCCCTCAGCATGATACTGTCTCCACCATGTTTCACCTTGAGGGTTAGGAGTTAAAAGTGTCTGTTTTCCACCACACATTGAAGGGTTTGTTCATTGATGAAAACATTTAATTTTGGTCATGTCTCACCACCTTCTTCAACTGTGTTTTCTGCATCCCCTCCATGTTTTTTTTTTTTTTTTTTTCAGCTTTTTGTCTTTACACTGTCACAAGTACAGAGCAACAAAATTCACAGTTGCAGTGAGGGGTTAATGGTCTTTTTACTTAGGGACCCAGAGTGGCAGTCTGTGGGAGTGGGGCTTGAACTCAGAACCTCTGGGATCCAAGCACAATGCCCCAACACCCAGGCTGCCATTCCCCCCTTAATTGTGGAAAAGGTTATAAGTATAAAATAAAGGCCTCCTATTTAGCAAAATCTGTTTTACCTCACATGTTGAACAGGGTTGTGTTGGTTCCTTGTATAAAATCCTAAACTAAGTTTTGTTA